ACTTTGAAGTTCGTTACATACTATAAGTTTCATATTCTCTATTGAAGAGTTAAATTTACCGCAGATGTTTTCTAAGTTTGTCATATTCGGGTTCGAATAGCCCTCTAACAGTTTGCATAAGATATCTGTAAAGAATGTGTTCTTACCAGTTCCTTGTTTTCCAATTATAATGAGAGCAGTTTCATTTTTAGCACTTGGATATTGTAAGATGTTTGCAAACCAACATAAGATATACTCATAAACCTTTTCGTTTCCATTGCATATAATTTCTTTGACATGGTCTAACCAAGCTTCTATAACATTTTCTTTCCATTCTACTTGTTCGTATTTATATCCAGTGAAGATAGAATAGAAGTTTGGAGAAGGTGTATAGAACTTTATACCACGAACTGAAAAATCTTCTAACTTTGACAATAAGATATCCCAAGCATCTAACATCTTCATACCAACTTGTACGACTTTTATTTTCTTAAGTTTCTGTCTACATTCTTGTTCTGAAACTATTGTTGCTCTTGGTTTGTTAAAGACAACATCCCATTCTTTCATACATAACATTCTGGGCAGAGTCGACATAAATGACTAAACGTTTCAAATTCTCGACTGCTTTGTTATAGTCTCTAAATGGACACATATTTCTGAATGCTTGGAAGTCATAAAAAATCTGAAACATCTATTCTTACATTTTTTAAAAATAAAAAAAATATTTTTTTTATTCTTGACTTTGTTGTTGCATTTGTTCATTTGTTGCATTTGTTGTTCTTGAGCTATTTGTTGTTGAAGTTGTTCTTGTAGTACAATACTTTCACCAGTTGCATCTTCCAATTCGAAACTTTCTGCCGTCATTGACAAATACATAGGACATAAAAGTTTTACAGGAACAAAGTTTGCGTCGACTAATGTCAACGTTATACTTGCTAAAGTGTTTGAGTTTACTAAGGTTGAAAATTCTGCATTCGAATGAACAATAGGCAAACCAGCAGAGAAAGTGTTGTTTATACGCATGAGTATCTTTTGGTCATAGTAGTTTCTGTCGACATTCGAATAGCACTTTGAACCTAAGTTTGAAACAATATATAAAAGGTGTACTTAAAGTCAATGGAACAGACATTCCTTGTATGACACCTTTTCCTGTTATAGGAAACTGTTGGTAGTAAAAACCAGATATAAGTTTTGTATTATAGCTCATATCGTTTATAGTAAACTCAGTCGGACATCCAAACATAATGAAACCTGCTTAGTTGCAGCACATGTTACATCCGTCCTTAAAGTATTAAATAAGTCAACAAAACCTGTTGGTGGTATATCTGAGTAAGTATCTTCAAAGGAGTATATTTTTTACCATTCACAACAACAAAGTCTTCTGGTGTCAAAGAGCAAAACAGGCTTTAGTCGTCATCGTGTTTAAGGTCAGTTTACAATATCGTCCTTGAGGACTTTGTAAGTTTGTTGTTATAGAATTATATGACTCAGGGTTTTTAGTCGTAATAGTATAAACCACTATGTCTTCTGCCATTTACTTAGCAACTAAATTTTAATGAAATGTTGTGGTCGTCAAATATTTTTATGACGTCTGGGAAACTATATTTTAAGTTCAACGTTTCACCTCCTTTCATAACGTATATCTTGTCAATGACATTATGAAACACCACAGCAAGCAATGTCGGGTTCTATTTCTTTGATGTTTATATCGTCTGCCTCTCAAAAGTTTCAATAGTTCTTTCAAAACTTCATGAGGTGCAATGACATATGAGTTCACTTTTACAGGTTGTGTTCGACCAAGTTTAACATTATACCTAAAGCTTGACAAATCTTCTCCTGAGTTTTAAGTTTATCTTTAAGTTGTTGGTAGTCGTTTCGAATATCTGCAACAGAACTTAAGTCTCTGCTAACTTCAGGGTATGTTGGTTGTTCTTTTACAGGAAACTATTGTTATACCATCTTCGTCTTCGTATGGTTTCCCCACTTCAACATCTCTTTCTTTGACATTGACAACAACACTTTGACTGTTTGTTTGAGTTGGTGAATTTAACTTCACATCTGCCACCGCCATTAAACCTTTTGAAACACTTACGCTTCTATTTTTCGGAAAATGACATTTTACTAAGAATAAAAAGATGGACGTATTCGAGTATCTCTTCGAATTGAAGCAGAACAAAGTTTACACACACAAACAATACAAATACATTGACAGAATAGTTCTTTATAACAAACAATGGTAAATGTTATAGAATAGCAATATTTGCTGAACCAAAATATTTTCATAAAGCAAAGAAAGTTGGTATAACCGAGATGGTGAAAGTTCTTGAAGCAGACAAAAATATAACAACAAAACTGACCGATATTTCTAAAGGTAAAGTTTATATCTTACAATTTTATGTCAAAAACTGGCGTACTGTCAATATTTGACGGAGAGAAGTCAGTTCAAGAACAACTTACTGACCTGCTGCCAAAATCTGCTCGATGGAAGCTGTCGTTATCCAATCTGAGGAGCCCCAGCAGGTTTTTCGAACGAATCTTCAAAAGAGCATTTCCGTGAAAAGTGCTATTGGTTTTGTAAACTTCTTTGCTCTCAGTTCATCTGGACCGTCTCTGTCACCAGTATATTGTATTTGTACAGTACCAACAGTTGAAATACCACCCATAAAGTCTTCTGAGTCAGCAAATGGAATGCCAAGCCAAAAGTTTGAACGGTCTCCATTTGTATATTGAGTTTTTTGACCTCCTGTATGAGTCCATACTTTCACATATGGCATAATAGAACTTTGCATTTCAGGTTAATGGTTGTTGTGAAGTTGTTGTTAAAGTTCATAGCATCTAATGTCAAGTTGTATGACCTCATATCCTCAACTTAGAATATTCTTCTCTTGGATATATTTGCCATCTATGTTTATATGGTATTTAATACCAGGGTTGTAGAAGCAAGAATAGTCATTTATAGTTCGTCTGAACAGTACAAACATAGTATCTGCATGTTTCATTGCAGTTGTTAAAGCAATATCTGTTCTTGCACCTGGGTCAGCACTTTGGTTTCCAACTTCACCTGCAAAGTCTTTGACAGATATTTGGTGTATAGGAACATAAGTGGAACTGCAATATATTTGGCAGCTAAAGCATTTGAAATATCTGGGTCCAACATATAGACTGCAAGTCTGCTTTCTATTCTCTTGCATTCAAATTTTTCGCATGTGAACTTAACTGGGTCCCAAGCATCTCCAGCAGCATTGAAATAATAGTTTACTTCAGTGTTGAGGTTTGAGAAACCAAAGTCTAAGTCAACTTTGTTTTGCAAAAGTCGGCGAATGACGTTTATTTGTTCCCACTTACGTCTGTAAGAGTGAATGGGTCCTTGCGTTGGTGCAATGACTAAGTTATTTTTGCTTGGAGTAAGTTCGATAGAAATTTTTCCTGCCAGTTTGGCAAGTATTTAAAACCTGAAGATGAGGAAAGATGACAAAGGAACTCTAAGTTTCAGTTTTACTTTGGTTACTGCTGCTGCAGTTTGTCCAGAAAGGTTAACATAAACTCCTGGAACGTTAGGGTCAAGTCTTCTTATTTTCTCAATGGTGGCATACTGGTCTGTTTGTTCTCTAGCTTGTGGTTGTACTGAGTTTCTCAAAGCGAACCATTCATAGTTTGCCCATGTTACTGTTTGAACTAAGTCAGAGTTAGAATATATCTTATATCCCATGAAAACTTCTGGAGCATATTGGTATCCGACATAGAAAATTCCATTGCAACCTTTCTTGTCAGACAACTTGGCAGAAGGTTTATTTCAATGTCTTGTTCCACGTATAAGAATGAGTTGTCAATAGAAATAATATGAAACTGTCGCAAGCAATATCTACTGTTGTTGAAGAACCTTCTCCAAACTCACCTACGTTTCCATAAGAAACAGCAGTTGTATATTCGTAAGTTCCAGGAACTATTTCTGACCTTCTAATGGCATTGTCGCATTCGTTATACCATTCGGAAACATTTCCATTCATAGCATCCAAAACTGTTGGCGTTATATTCTGAGCGGCGTACATTTCATATGAGTAAAAATATAGAATAGTTGGATTTATATGTCATAATAGAACCCACGTGGACCAAGCTTTACTTTCTTCCTGACTGAGTTTTTAACTCTTCTTTTTCCTTCATTGCCCTCTGCTTGAAGTTGTTGCATCTTTGCATTATCATCTAGTATGTTGCAAATTTCCCATGTCCTTTTTGCCTTTTGGCTCTGGTCGCCCATCTCAGGTAACCTATATCCTAGAAGAGTTTGTCATAGTCTGTATTTGAGTCTTCGCGTATTGTTTGCATGACTCTTTCCTGAGTTTCTGGTTCAAGCTCTTCAAACAGTGCCTGTCCATATGGAATATGCTCGTTTCCAAATATATGTTTTTGTAGCCATTCTGGTTTTCTTTCCATGTTAAACAATATCTTTTGTGAATGGGAAAGCTTTTACCCAATCTTTCAGTCTTGCGTCGTTTATTTCTGTAGTTGGTTTTATTTTGTCAAGGAACATGTTTTTCAATACTAACATTTCATTTGGTACTGTCCATTTGAGTTTTCTTAAATATTCATCCCTTCTCATTTCATTGTCTGCAAAGTAAGTTTTATGACATTTTGTAAACTTTCATTTGCAAGGTCATGTACAATAGGTTCTCTTCCTTCTCCCTCCCTAACTTTCTTTCTAAACTCTTCACCAAATATACCATCTCTATGGTTCTGTGTAGTTCTTTGAGATAAATGTTCTAGAACGTCAGGTGTTATATTTCCATCAGCCATGTTCATTTCAATACTGGTCCAAAATATCTGCATCTTTCATATCTTTCAATGGCATTAAAGCCGCGCTGAAAATACCAGCTATATCTGGTTCACCATTCACTTCCATTGCGTCTACAACTTCTTGGAATTGTGGTTGTAAGTTTATGAACCACCTATCCGGATTAGCTTTATGACCCCATCTCATTGTAGTTCCATCGTCTGCAGAAACAAAAGTAGGTTTGTTTCCATATTGGTTAGGTTCTGAATGAACTTTAAACAATGTTTCATTTCTATATGTTTTCTTGAAATTTAACCTTTTATCTTCACCGAGTTCATCCGAAGATTGAACGTTAAATGCTCGTAAGTAAAAAGGGTTGTTGTATTTGTGTACATTTTTTTTCAGTTCTTCCATTCTATGCTGAATATTTTCATCTGGTGCTGGAGTCTTTTGTATGTCGGCAAACATTTTTCGATATTCTTCTACTATGTCAGCCGAATTTTTTTTAGACTCTTGGAAATATTCCATATTCTCCGCATACTCTTGTTGAGGGTCAAGATTTTTCGGCTGTTCCAAATCTTCATCTAGTTCTGTGAAGTTAGTTTCCAAAGGAGTGACTTGTTCGTTTCCTTCAGGCTCTTCTAGCTGTTGTTGCTGAACTATTTCTTCCATGTCTGGTTGTATCTGAACTAGTTCTTCCTGTGGAGTTTCTTGTACCTCATCTGCTGGCATTTCATATATTCCGAGACCGTTTTTAAAAAGTTCCCTATCTAAGTCATCCGGACTCATAAACCTTTCTTTTTTCGTTCCGTCTCTATTTTTTACGCGTTTCATGAAGAGAGTTGAATTATCATTTAGCTCTGACACCAAATATCTTGGAGTAAATTCAGTCATGTCATTTGGATGATATGCTATTAAATCATATCCCTTAGCGAGCTTGTATTTTCCAGGTTTGAAATTATATCCCATTTGGTGCTGAGCCATAAAGCTAAATAGGTTCGGGTCAGTATTTCCTTCCTTGAACTTTCTAATAGCTTCTTTATATCTGTCACTAAAGTCAAGAGTATCTGGGTAACCATACTCTTCCTTAAGCATTTTTAAGAATTCTTGGTTTCCTTGTTCTCTACTTCTTTTATGTCCTTGCTCTGTTTGTGCTGGTTGTTGTGCTGGTTGTGGAGGTGGTTGCTGTGCTGGTTGTTGTGTTGGTTGTTGTGTTGGTTTTGGTTGTTGTTGTGGTGCATGCCTGTGTCTATGTCCATGTGACGATGTAAATGTGTTAGGTAGTCCTGGTGCAGGTGCTTCTCTTGGAGGGTTTGGTGGTATATAAGTTCCACCAGCTGGCACATATGTTCCATCTGCAGCGTAATGTCCTACCTGACTTTTCGTTTTTAAGAAAGCATTTACTAGGTCTGTTTTGGTCTGTTGTAACTCTTTTTCTTGACTTTTCACAACAGTTGCTCTAACGGCGTCATAGGCACTTTGAACTGCCTGTCTCGTTGCTGCATCTGTTATTTTCGTCATATTTTGTGCTACTTCTCTTAACTCGTTGTCGAAACCTTCAGACTTCAGTTTCTTTCCAGATGAGAAGTCGTTCACTAGTTTCACCTTACTATGAAGAGCTTCGAAGGCGTTCTTAAAGTCAGCATTTGTTAAAGCTTCATTTGAACTGTCTTCATCCGCTTGTATTTTTGTCCTTATTGACCCTATGAGTTGGGCTGCTTTAGCGTTGGCTTGGGCATCTAACCAGTCATTGTTAGCTTTTATATATTCTGCGCTTTTCATTGCCTTTTGCATGGCTGCGTCGTTATTTTTACTTTCTTGTGCTAAGTTTTCATACTGTACGGTTTGGTTTTGCAACTGTAAAAGTTTTTCTGCCTTTACATTTGCTTCAACTTCTTTTTTATACTCATCGCTATCCATATATATGTCTTCAGGGCTTTTTGTTTTATCTCTTCATCTTTCAGTATTTTATATTGAGTAGTATGGTTTTTCAAATTTATGACATCTTGTTCCATTTTTGCTACTTCTGTTGCTTTTTCTGACACTTTTTTCGCATATTCCTCTGTACTTAGTTCTTTCAGTTGTTCTTCTTTCTTCTTTTTCTCTACGTTTAACTCATTGAGTTTCTTTGTGTGTCTGTCATATTCGAGTTTCTTTTCGTTTTCACTTATTTGCTTCTGTATGTCTATGTTTGACTTTTTGACATCTGATATTTGATTTTTGAGTGAACTCAAATTCATTTGACTTTGAGGGTTATAGGCTGTTCCGTCTGCAGCTCCACCATAGCCTGCCATTTTCGCTAAAAGTGCCGCTCTTAAACCTCCACTCTGTGCACCAACAACTCGGTTTAAAAGCATAGGATTGCTTGACATTTGTTGCAACATAGTGGGGTCATTCATCATTTGTTGTTGCAACTGTTGTTGTGGTGTTAGTCTTACTATTGGATGTTTCAATGCTCTCTTCCTCTTACGTATATTCTTACGTAGCTTACGTGGCATTTTAAGTGAAGTTAAAAAGCGTCATTTGACAGATGTTTATATGACACTTTTTGTTCAGCACAAAAAACTACTCGGTCAAAGTGTTGTCAGTTTTGTAAAATAACCGTCCTATCTCATTCTATAAGGGAAAAAGGCTTCTCAAAGTATACTTCCTTGGAACGCCTGTAACTTTTCCTGTAGCGACGATAGACCCTTACTTGTCCGAACAAAGCTGTACTATTTTGAGTGCTCTACAAAAAAGTCAACGGCTACGACTCTCAAAAACCGTTGTGTAAAAAGTTTTACCGTTGGACAAAAAAGTATATATAGAAAACAAAAAACGTTTATAGTTCATTCAATATTTGAGATGGAACGGTTTGCCAACGGTAACTATTAAATAAAATAAAAAAATAGAGGGGGTTACCGTTGACGAAAACGGTTTATTTTAAACTTTTCTATGAGTAGTCCGAAAAAAACAGTTCATTTTTGTCTAATGGCATTCGCTAGCGTGTTCGCTCCAAATTCACCTGAAGAAATTGCTTGCAAACTTTCAGCACCCACAGGTTTAGAGCCTCAATATCAAACTGCAGCATCTACACATTCTCCAAGCAGAACAGACAATTCACTCAATCCAAAGCCACTTTCACTACCAAAAACAATACCAAACGAGCTCCGTATTACAAAGAACCACAGCAACGCTGAACTACGCAAAATACTACTCAGATTGTCTGAAGAATACTTCAATTCAAAGCCAGAAGAAAGAGTTCCTGCAACTTTTAACAAAGAATATTGAACAACTCAACAAAGTTCTTGCAGACTTTACCAAACTACAAAAAGAAACACCTGACCCATTCGAATTAGGTGACACAATTGTCAACTATTTTCCAACAATAACAAAGATAATGGTTGACAGAACTATATGTCAGCTTATTGAAAGTCTTCCACCCAAAGCTGCAAAAAAAGTCGAACAGTTTTGGGTCGAATTCAAATTAAAGAGTTATGGATATCAGGATGACGAAGAAGAACGTGAGTACGGACAAGAAACAGCAAAATGGCAATGTCTTAGCTCACTCAACCCCAAGTTCAAACCATTATTTTACTCAGACAACAACACAATTCAAGTACGCAAAATTGCTATTCATTTCGTTAACCAAGCAGAAGACATTGAAGAAGGAGACTCTATCTCAGTTTATGTTTGCTACTGCAAATTTTTCAAGGACGAATTTGGAGGACCAATTCTCATGCATGTCTTCAAGCCACGTCAGCAACTCTACGTTGAAACTGAAATAACACTCATGCATGGAATGTATCTCAAGTTTGAAAGCCAATTGGAAAACACATACAACATTTGGCTTTCATACATTCAGTTCGATACACCAGATGACTTTGATGTTGAAGAAGAAGACTCTACTCAAGAAGATGAACCACAAGACTCAATCCAAGAAGAGTCCTCCGAATTCACACCAGAAGACTAACAATTTTCCGAATAAAAACTTCATTTATACTAAACATCTTCGGGGCTAGAAGGCACGAAGTGCCTGGAAGCCCCACTACCTTTTTTTTTTTTTTTTTTTTTTTTTTAACTATTTTATATAAAAATCAAATTCAATGATCTTAAAAGCGAAGGATAAACCTCAAAATTTACGAATATAATGAGTGGGAATATAATGCTTATCTATCATAAAACCATATGAAATATCAATTTTTGCTTTACGCCTAATTTTTGACGACAATTAGCAAAAAATGTTAAATGTTAACACTCAGTCCATTTGAATATGAAAAATAAAATTGACTTTGATTAAATGTTTTTATTTATCATGCAATTCTTCTTGCGACCAAAGATTTGAATAAAATTTCAAAAAATAAGATAGCTTAAAAATAATATACGGTAGTGTTTACTAATAGATGAATAGTATATAAATTCTATTAAAATGGATTTGATCCAAAAAAATATATAAAATTTGATCATAAATAAAATCGTTTTAAATTACTTCTTCATTTAAATTATAACAATTATTTTTGATTTTTATTTATCATCCACATTCAAATTTGAATCTTATCACAAAAGAAAGACCACTTTTATGACTACTGCCAAATCTATAAGCAGAGAATGGCTATTTGAAGCTAAAAGAAGAATAGAAGAAGGTGAATCTTACAAAAGTCTGGGAAAGGAAGTTGAATTGGAAAATGGTAATGTTGTAAGACGAGTTACGGAAAGTGAGGTGAACCGAAAAAGTGACACTTATTTGGTCGGATAAATTCCCTATATATTTACTTGTCAAAAAAAATCAGACTTTTTTTGCTTTAAAAAATTTATAAGTTAATTATTGAGAACGAAGGTGAAAGGAAATGGATATCTCTTACCTTTCATTCCCTCGAGAAAGTTCAAAAACTTGGGTGCAATCAGTTCTGATTGCACCCAAGTTTTTGAACTTTGTATAAGGAATTGTTGGCTATGATGTACTGATCATGAATCAGTACATCATAGCCAACAATTCCTTCGCAAACAGCGGGAAACTTTGTCTGAATAGTTTAACATTCAGACAAAGTTTCCCGCTGTCAGAGAGGGAATGGAAGGGTAAGAGGTATATATTCATAATGTATACCTCTTACCCTTTCATTCCCTCGAGAAAGTTCAAAAACTTGGGTGCAATCAGTTCTGATTGCACCCAAGTTTTTGAACTTTGTATAAGGAATTGTTGGCTATGATGCACTGATCATGAATCAGTACATCATAGCCAACAATTCCTTCGCAAACAGCGGGAAACTTTGTCTGAATAGTTTAACATTTTGGAGAACTTATACAAAGTTCAAAAACTTTGTCTGAAGAATTCTTCCATCTGTTAAAGGGACATTTTGGAGAACGGTTTCGACGTTAATACCGCTTTGAATTTGTTGATTAGCTTGATTTAACCATTCTAAATCAATTAAATCGAAGATTCTACCACTCATTGGAAAATTATAAGTTTTGAAAAAAACCGTAAATCATTATTGAATCTAAAAATATTTATGTACAAAAAGTCGGTATATATTCTATAATTATTTAAAATAATGAAAAAGTTGATTTGTGAATCATTGAAATATTAATGCTGTTATATATATATCAGATGATATAAGATGATTTTTTTAAATAAAAAATAAAATTTAATTTTTTAATTGTTAAAATAAGAATAGTAAGCTTGACAAGTAATTTAAGTTTTTGCTTTGTAAAGTTATTTGGTTGGCAAATGCATTGTGTCACTTTTTGTTTGAGTTCACTTTCCGTAATTTGTCTTATGATAGTAAAATTAAATTGAATGTTGCCGAAAATACAATAAGAAGAGCATTTCAACTTCAAGAAATCAAATTACCAAAAGTTAGTCGCGGCAGAAAACCAAATCCACCAACATTTGAGCAAAAACAATTAATTAATTCTTGTGTTTCACAATATAAAGGAGGAATTTCAAAAACTTATTTATTGATTAAAAGGTTTCAAAATATTGCTCAAAATCCCGATTGTGAGAAAGAAAAAGAAGAAATTGCAAAAGAATTTGAAAATATAGAAGATTTGACAAAAGATCAAATTTTTGATAATTTACAAAAAATAAAGCATCATCAAGTGGAAAAATTTATGATGGAATCAGGTTTATCTTCAAAAAGAGATTACAAACCAGCAGATCCACCTACCAAATATCGTGCCATATCAAAGAATTTGATATGCACTGCGATATTCATTACCTTTCACGGTAATGTTTCTTTTCCATTTTTTGCCATATTGGATGATTATGACACGTAAAGTTCTCAAAACTAAATTATTGAAAAACAAGTCTTCCAACTCAACAGCGAAGGTTTTAAGAAAACTTTAGAGGAGTTTATTCCTTACTGCATCTGGACCGATA